AACTAGTAAAATCGCATCTGAATATTCCTTGCCTAATAAAACTTGTGAAATCCATGGTTGTTATACATTGACAGATGACTTGAAGACACACGCACATTGTGTAGTTGGGAACATATGTCCATTTCAACGTGTCCTTCCCATACACTGGTACCTAAAGGGTGGTTAAATACCATCATGCCATTCTGAACATGCCTGGTCTCCTTTGATTTTGGAAACTAATCAGGGACAGACTTTATTAGTTGTTGAATGAAGATCACCAGAGATTTGTGGTTAGGGCTACGAAAGAAGTCTGTCTGAATCTCTGGAGAGCCATTACTGTTTCACAGCTGTTTCAGAGCTGATAATGCTTTTCTAGATGGAGCAAGGATCTGACACAGTAAAAGGTGTCTTACATCTTCTAAACTGAATGTTGTAGGATAAAAAATCTTTGGCTCTTCGGGTATTTTACACCTTCTCTTATCATTGACCATACTTGATGGCAACTGATGGTAATTGTATGCTAAAGCAGGGCTTCTTAACCTTTTCCATTCACAACCCCTTTCAGCCCAATAATTTTTTACATGGCCCCTGATATATAGGTATATAAAATGGGTACAAAATTATACATTTTATTAAAATAAATCAGTATTTGCAAGGCTTACTGAAGAGTCTGTTTTTCCTTTTTATGAAGTACAGCTGAAGCATTTTCTGCGGATTCCTCTATAAACACTGTACATTGTTGCCAAAGGATTTGTGCAAATGGGTGGCATTCAGAGGCCTTTTACTGTTACCATTTTTGTGACTCCCACATTGAGCTAAGAGAATCCCATTTTGGATTGGGACCAACAGTTTAAGAAGCAGTGGGTTAAAGCATATAGTTGTGCAAAGTTTCCCTAGTCCTGATATGGTAAAGACAAGGGCTTCTCAGGTATTCTGATGTGAGGAGTGGCATATTTTCCCCTGATGTATCAAGGACCAGGATCATATTTTTGCCTGCCTTTCCACAAATCATGATTAGCTACTAAAGGTAGTGCCAAATTACATTTTTCTCCCTCTCCTTCTTTTTTAAGTTGTCAGAAGCTAATAAGGAGGAAGATAAGAGGAGCTAAGAATGGCGGCAGGAGTTTCTTTTTGCCCGAAGCTACTGGAAAGGGAAAACTTTTATCCTCTGTTTCCCTGCTAAATTAATGGAGTGCAAACTACATATAACACAAATTCAGTGCAATGGACTAAGCAGAGGATGAAGAAAGAAAGTAGAAGGAGGGAGAGAAAATGGGGGGGGGGGGCTTCCAGACAGGCCCTATATCCCAGGATCTGATCTGAGGTTTTCTGTTTATCCCAGATTATATGGCAGTGGGGATTCACATAATCCAGTTTAATGCAGAAAACCTGGGATCACATTCTGGGATATAGGGCCTGTCTGGAAGGGCCCTGGGGCAGCTAAAAAATGGGGTGACAGAGGATTAATCAGAGATGTCTTGTTGCATATCAGCTTTAACATAACAAATTAAGGTCAGGTTTTCTTGGCATCAGTGGTGTTATTTATTACTTTTGTATAAAGCCTTTTTTCAGCTCTTCTGCCCTGCCCTATGGTTTTTAGTGGTATTATAAAACTATTGCTGTAGTTAACTCCAGAAACTTTCTACCAACCTTCAGTAAGGCAGAAAACTGCCTAAATGAAAGATAATGTCTCCTGCACGGCTTCAGCTGTGAAATATTTAACACCATTTCAGAAACGAGAAATTTGAAGGAGCCAATATGTTGAATGCAGAAGTGGCTGAACCGTTGCATATGGAGTGATTTATGCTTCCATGTCTGCTGCGTTTGCAACAGGGCCTGAATATGGTTGTGAAGTCTGCCCGTAGGACGTGCTGTGCACATGTTGATTTTTCATTAGGGTGCAAAGACACTAAATAAACAAACAAACAGTGGACGATGCAACCTGACAAATTCATTTTTGGTAAGGCTGTAATGTTGACAGCAAAGAGAAAATAGGAAATGTTTACAAGAAAGAAAATGGATAACATGCTTTTTTAAAAAATTAAAAAATAAGACGGTCTTTTTCCTGCCGGGCATTTTTCTGCTGTCTATGGCCAAGCTATTTTCTTTCTAATGACAAATAATGAAATAGCATCTCCTGTTTCATGTAGCAAATTGCGGGATGTAAATAGTTGGGTTTTTTTTCTTCTTATCCATGACAACAAAACCCCTTTATTTTTTTCTGCCTGCTAAGTGGAATTATGAGAGATTTTATACATTTTTTTTCCATTCTGAGGCATTAGTGTAAATATTTCAATAGTGGAAATACAGTAGAGTATCATTTACCTGTGATTCCAAAATCAGAATTACTCCAATATCCAAATTCGTTGACATGGTTGGCTGAGATAGTGACACCTTTGCTTTCTGACAAGGTTAGTAACATCTACAAAACTACAACAAATATTGTTATACCCTACAGCTATTTGTATAAGGTGTTTATAAGGTGTATGTGAGTTAGCTTGGGCACAGAACTCTGTTCTGTCACCTGAAGCAGCTACTTTTGCAGGCCTAATAATAAAGTTGGACTGTCGCTTTCCTTTACTTATGTGCTTTTGTGGAAACAACTTGACTTTCTAGACTCCAGTCAACTGGCTAATGCTCCAATGTTCTGCTAAGTATTCCATCCAGAAAATGTTGGCTACCCAAAATCATATTTTGTTATACCGAGAAAAAAGGAATGTCAGAGACAATTTAAGAGTGAATGTAAATATGGTTTGGCATCATGAACAGTTGACTGAAGTTAGTGCCCAGAAATATTGGTTGATTATGAATGATTATGCCAGTTTTACAGCTCTATCCTATGTATGCTTACTGGGAAGGAATTTCTAATATGTTCTGTGCAGCTTATTTCTGCTTAACTATTTATAACACGATAGCCCTAAATATGGGTTAGAGTTCTTCATAGTGACATTTATTCCCTAATATTAGCATTGATGCACACAAGAACTGTATATACTTATGAGTGATAGCAAAAATGAGGCAGCAATGCTTCTCATAGCATTTCTAAACCCATTTTAATAGCCAGTTTAGCACTCAAGCTCTGAATGGGAGCTGTGAGCAGCACAGCTGGCTCCAATTTCACCTTCATGTTTAACTCTCTAGGTGGTCTTACATGAACCATCTTCTCTCAGCTCCTCCATTTACAACATGAATAGCATTGGTCGTATTACAAGCTTCTTGTACATTTACTGAAATAATGCATGTGAAAGGCTATGAACGCTCAGATGTGTCATCTGAATGCTAAATTGTGAATAATACTCTTTTTGCCAACTATGAGTGGCTAGCGTCCTAAGATATTTATATGTAACTGTAGAACTGTGGTCCAACTTTGAATTGCTGTATAGTAAATAACTGCCTTGCAACTTGATCATGAAAGTATTACTTGGAAGTGCACAGCCCTGGTTATGTAATATGCTATGCAATATATGGAACTGATCGTGCCATCTGCTAATTCCTAGTTCTCCTTTCATCCTTATTCATGAAAACAGCCCTCCTGGCAGCAATGTTGCTGCAGATCTGGAGGTAGCTTTGATCAGGACCTTCTTCACATACCTTAACTGTCAATTCCTTGCATCTTTGGATGCACCTAAACTTCTCAATTTCAACAGATTTGGTTCTATGCAACTATCCATAGGGCAACCAGTAAACTACAAAGTAAATATCTAGTCCTGTTGATATGTTATTACTGAGTGTCGGAAATGTGCTGGTCTTTGGATTGCTCTGCTTATCTGATGTGCTCTGAGAAAGACCTCATGGTTTCTGAGAACCAAAAAACGAAGTAAAACAATCACAAACACTGTTCAGTCTTCATTCAATACTTTAATAGGCATTTTCCATAGCACTTTTTATCTTCCTATAAGGATGCTTCCTGGGTTTCTGCAGGCTGCTTTACAAGCAAAATATCATCTTTGGATTAAATTCCATGTTATTAGTTTATGATAGAGCGTGCAAAACAACCTTGGGGCCGTGGTAGCACAGCGGCTAAACTACTAGCTGCAAGAAAAGCTGCTGACTAGAGGGTTAGTAGTTCGAAGCCATCAGTCAGGATGAGCTCACAACTGTCAACAGTAGAATCTGCCAACCTAGCAGTTTGAAAGCCCCAGTGCGAGTAGATTAATAGGTACCACCTCAGCGGGAAGGTAAAAGGGCACTCTATACAGACATACCGGCAACAAGATCAGAGATGCCTATGGACAGCAGGCTCCTTGGCATAGAAAAATGGAACAAGACCACCTCCCCATGGCCAGAGTTGAGCATTGCCTCCAGACGCTGGAGATGTAAAAGGGGAAGGCCTTTACCTTGTCTGTGTATTGTATGCCATTGAATATTTTCCTTATATGTATACTGTAATCCACTCCGAGTCCTTCCGGGGAGATAAAGCAAAATATAAATAAATAGTATTTATTTATTCATTTACACAATCAGAAGAAGCAGTTTAATGTTATGCCTACATTGTGCTCTGAAACACTAATGAACAGGTTTCAGGCTGATGACATTTACTTTATTTTGAGCCTGAAGAGCCAGAGCCAAAGGGTTGCACAAAAGACATATATTTATAATTGAGGAATTGTGATTTTGTTCTGAGTTTGACAGCAGTGACTGAATTGATATTTGTCGTACACAAACAGTCACTCCTGGTTCCTCAACGTCTTCTTAATTGTACCAAAATAAAGGGAGGGTGTATGATTTTGTTGCTGTTACTTGCAGATCTGCTGCAAAGCATTCCCAGATCTACTATTACATTGCAATCTGCTTTCTGCCAATCTTTGCCCTGAATACCATGCATTTTCTACTCTGTTGAAAATCATCCAAAATTCAGTTTTAAAAAAAACTCTATTATAGCTATATTTTTGAAAATTAAGAAGGCAATATTTCTTGTTCTTGTAAAGTATGAAGAAAAAAGTCATTTGAAATAACATGCACTTTCTCTCACAGTGTTGCTTCAAAGGAAATGATGAGAAATATTCCTTTTTATTTTGCAGTATTTTGGGAGCTTGCTTGTGATATTCTGCGTAGAGTTGGCCTGTGGTGTTTGGACCTATGAGCAGGAAGTTACGGTAAGCAGAAAAATGTTTCTTCAGATAAAGGTGCGAAATATGTTCTGCCTCCTTAAAACTTGTGCACATTTCCTTTAAAATACACATTCCTTGTATGAATTTTCCCTACTAATGAAAGGAAGTTTGTGCATATTTTAAAATTGTACAATTTTTTATTTATTCTTCAAATATGTGCATGGTTTCTGCAAGCAAAAGAGATTTGCTTTGTAGATGGACATACCTTTTTCAAGCCTGGAGAGATGTTAAATAGCTAGTTCTGCTGAGCATCTTGAAGATGACCAAATGCTTTCTCCCTCTTTTTGACTAAATTAAAGGCTGTTTTTTGTGTGAATAATGCTACCTTGAACTACCAGCATTTTAATTTTTTGTTGAATGCTTTCATGACCGGAATCACTGGGTTGTTATAAGTTTTAGTGCTGTATGGCCATGTTCCAGAAGCATTCTCTCCTGACGTTTTGCCTGCATCTATGGCAGGCATCCTCAGAGGTTGTGAGACCTCTGAGGATGCCTGCCATAGATGCAGGCAAAACGTCACGAGAGAATGCTTTTGGAACATGGCCATACAGCCCGAAAAACTTACAACAACCCAGCATTTTAATTGTCTGCCAGTACATATATAGCCATCAATCCAAGAGTTTTTAAATCATTTCTTGTGGGGGATTATGTCATCTGTTCCTATTGTATTTTCCAAAACTAGGTCAAAAGTTAAAATTCATGCATTCCCATGGTCTCCGCATCAGCAACATTGTTTCCTCTGAGGAGTCTGAATCCCAATACTGAACATTATATGACCAAGGACTAGCCTCAAATCCAGATAGTTTAACTAGGTTTGATACACCTGGTACATTTATTCTCTTCCAATTATGTATGGCCTCCGTAGGCATTTTCTAGGTTTTCCAGCATGACTCTATGGTATCTTTGAGTTAGAAGTCCTTCCTTTTAATAGAATTTGCTGTTATCCATGGTTATATATATTCATATGAAGTTTGCGAATGTATTACCCATGGAGCTGTATAAAACAGTCGTATAGAAGCATAAGAAGCTACTTTGAAAAGTAAGTAGTTGTAGCTCTGATGCTCAAGTTGGCTAGTTACTATTTTCATTTCGGTTTTTAAAAGTTGATCTTTATTTTGAAGCCCTCTGCAGGCACAGTGGGTTAAAGCGCAGAGCTGCTAAACTTGTTGACTGAAAGGTCGCAGGTATGAATCCAGGGAGCGGCGTGAGCTCCCACTGTTAGCCCCAGCTTTTGCCAACCTAGCTGTTCGAAAGTATGCAAATGTGAATAGATCAATAGGTACCACTCTGGCAGGAAGGTAATAGCGCTCCATGAAGTCATTCTGGCTACATGACCTTGGAGGTGTCTACAGACAACACTGGCTCTTTGGCTTAGAAATCGAGATGAGCACCAACTCCCAGAGTGAGACACAACTGGACTTAATGTCAGGGGAAAACCTTTACCTTTACCTACTTTGAAAAGTTAATTAAACAATTTCTTGAAAATAGTTGGAAAGCTACAAGCTGCTGTCCTATTTGGTAAAACATAAATTATATGCAATGATGGCTGATTTCTTCCATGTCAGTGGGGTAGTGATCTGCTTTGGGTTTTAGTCTAAATTTTGAAAGAATTGTCCATGATCCTGAACCTTATTCTCAAAATAGGTTCAGTACCTTGAATAGTTCTTGCCATGATGAAGTCAAACACACCAGATGGATCCTGTGGCTATAACAGTTGTGCCACAAAAGGGGTGAAATTGTCCCTAATTAAGTTTCAGTTATTTAGTGCAAAAAAAGTAATTCACATCAAGTGATTCACTATTTTGTTACTAGTTCTTTCCACACTCTGGGTCTTGAGCATATTTGCACACTATATTTAATAAGTTTCTGTTTTTAGGTTTGCTTCCTTAGTCACAGCTGGATCAAAGGCACAGTTCATTTGCACAGTGAAATAATATATGCTGAGAAGTCTAGCGGCCAGGCCTTAAATGTTTTTGCTCTGTGTGAAACACATATATCAATTCCAAAGCATCAACTGTTCATAAGAGCTTCTGCCTTCAGGTGGCATCTGTGTCCTTTTCGTTCTCAGGCTTGAGGTATAATTCTTGCATGGGAAAATAGTTTAATCATTGAGGAGAAAACAAGTCAGCATGTTATTTCTCTAGCTGCTAAATTCTCCTGTCTTATTTTCCATGTGGTACATATTTATGAAGAGAGTGACAGAGAGAGTTTTCCACAGAGCTGCCAAAAGATACTCAAGGCTATGGCCTTCTCAACAGCAGCAAGTGTATTAGCAATTATTTCCCTGTGTTTGTTGCTGGTTTTTTTCTCTTTTTTTTCAACACTTCTTTTTTTAAAAAAAGAAACAAGTTCATTTTGTGGTTTGTTCAGCACTGGGACGAGAAGAATTTCTGGCAGGTCTTCTGTCTGAAATTGCATTCTAACAGTTTTCATCAAAATTCATTCCCTTGCTGAACAGATTCCAGAAAAAGGCTACGATTCCAAATATAACATTAAATATATTACTGTGTTGAAATGTCACAATCAAAACAGGAAGGGTAACTGTGTGTGCATCATTTGCTCCATCAACTCTGCTGCCTTCCCCGGAGAGTCTGAGGAGAAAAAGGTTTTTGGAGCTCCATAGGAATACATTTTATTTGTGGCCATGTGCAGGATGGACTCAAATAGGAGGACTCCATCCTACATATCTAGTGTTGGTGCCAATGTTTTTCGGGTGGAGAACACTGTGTTCCTGTTTGGCTCACTAACAACTTACTGCTCCCATGTTAGTGGGGCAGTAAATCTGTCTGAACGTTAAAGGCACTATCCAAGGTACTGAACCCCACACTTCCAACCATTATCCAAGCAGCTGAACTTTACGCCTCTCTGTGGAGAGCATTTTTGAAGCTTGGGTAGATCCATCACCACACTAATATGCTATGACTTAAGAGTCCTTTTCTTTTGATTCGTCTATTTTGTGTTTTTTCAACCCTATCTCTCTGCTTCGTCCCATGCTTTGGATCTGGCCAGAGTAAGAGAAAGGGAGATAGAGAGACTGCAAAGCAAATGGAAGATGCAACTCTTTCTGTTTACTTTGGCTGTTGCTTGCTTATTTGAAGAGTAAAAGTGGACTTAGAACCATAGCAGGAGAAAGAACAACAGGACTAGGAAATTGGGAGGTTTTCTGACACCTCATTTCATGATAAGGTGCAAGTCTTTTTTTATTGTTGTTGAAGCCATTCCCAAATACTAGTGTTGTAGCAGGGTTAGCCTCAGCCAAGGATAGTGTGTCTCCTCTGAATGAATGCCTGGAGGAGGTAATGGGCTGGATGAGGAAAACAAATTGAAACTGAATCTAGACAAAACAGAGGTGCTTGACATTAAGGGTCCTAATCTGGGGATAGAGGTGTGCCAACCAGTCCTGGATGGGGTTACACTTCCCTTGAAAGACTGTGTTCGCAGATTGGATCTGTTTCTCCAAATGTCAGCCCAGGTAGATGTGACAGTAGGGAGTGTTTGCTAACAGCTTCATCTGATATGCCAGCTGTGCCCCTTTTCTAGATTCTGAGAACCTAAAGATGGTCGTTCATTCGCTGGTAACCTCAAGGTTGGACTTCTGCAATGCGCTTTACATTGGGCTACCTTTGTACAAAGTTCGGAAACTCCTGCTGGTTCAAAACACAGCAGGCAGGTTGGTTATGGGAACACCCAGGAGTGAACCTATCACCCTTATGCTAAAGTCACTCCAGTTAGTTTCTGGGCAAAGTACAAAGTGTTGATTTTGACCTTTAAAGTCTTACATGGTTTGTGTCCAGGGTACTTACAGGATTGCCTTCTCCTGTACAATTCGGCTTGCACACTTAGGTCTTTTGGGGAGCGGTTACTCCATCCTGCCAGAACTTGACTGGTGAACATGACTCAGAAGACTTCATCAACTGCCCCAAAACTGTGGAATGACCTGGCAGAAGAGTTCCGACAATTAAATGAGCTGTCGGAATTTTAAAACCATCTAAAGACCTACACAGCCAATTTTAAGCATGAATTTTAAACTCTTATCCTATGTTTTATTCTCTGTCCTGTGTATTTATTATGTATTTTGTAGAAATACATTTTAATATGTATATTTTATAGAAAAACATTTTAATATGTGTGTTTATAGAATTTTTGCAATGTTTGCGTGTTTTGACTGTGCTGTGATCCGCCTCGAGCTGCAAGGAGAGGCGGGTAAGAAATAAAATTATTGTTTGATACACAATAAGATTAGTACACAGCAAACAAGATCACCATGGTGGTTTTTGTATTCGATCACATGTAGGACACTTCCCAAGTGCCTAAGACTGAGTGATGTATTGGCGAATAATGTGTGCAGATCTGAGTAGGGTAGCTTTTTGTAGCTGATAGATGGTAATTTTATCAGCACCGGTTGTTGTTGCTACTGCTGTTGCTATTATTGCTGTTGTTATTATTCTCATCGCCTAAAATAGTTTGCTACCTAAAGTGAATGGAAAAGGCGGCACCCTCCCATGTTTCATGTAGAGAAGCTGCCTGGACTGGTAGTTGAATCTTTATCTCTAGAGACTGAAATGCATCTAGCACTGTACGTTGAAGGCACCAAACTTTCTCTGGGAGCCTGGCACAGTCTAGGTGACACCTAGATCTCTCCTCTTAACTCCTTGCTGTAGGTTCCCTGAAGTGCTACTTGAGTTAGTTGCTCCACTTTATTTAATGATATTGCTAGCACAACCTCATGAATAAGTTAAATTGTTCCTCTGTCTCTGGAGGTTGGTAGCGGAAGACTGTCTAATCCTCTTTTCTCTGGCATCCATACACATGTGATCCATTGTCAGCAGCTGGCAGTGTCTAGAAATAAAACATATTTTTGTGAACATTTTGCAGTCAGTATATTTTCAAAGAGGCATTTGTAATTCTGCTATATACGATTCCAATAGGACAAGGTAATTTATTGCTTATTGCCTGTTGTTCCAACCCTTTCTTCCCAGAGTTCA